TTCATTACGGTAAAGTGACTTATGCCGCTTTCAAAATAAACGGCTCGTATCATAGCAGAAGCCGTCCGAAGTTTGAGTAAAACAGATCTTGTTATTGTTGTAAAACAATATACATTGGTCGCGTTTTGGGCCCGGTAGTCCTACTGTTAAAGGAATTGTTATCTTAAATTGCTGATATTAACTTGTTTGTTCATCGTTAGAATTGTCATTGTCGGTAGAGGGACTGAATAAATTCCATAATTCAAGCTCGTATGTAACAAAAATAGAGAAATGTCTAAATTAATTCCGTCTTATCGTTCTAATAAATAAATATAGCGTAATATTATTCAAATGATCTGTAGATTTAGTATTAGGACGCTGTGTACTTGTTTTCCTCGTTGTATTCTGATCATCATATTATATCTGTTTGTCTACTACCCCACATTTTTAAACTTGCTAACTATATTAATTAATTAAGCCGTTCAGAACGGTGATCATTGAAACGAACATGTCGGAAATATTTGGCCTATACTTATGCGAAAGCCTCGCCGAAAATCCGTTACGTACTCGAGACGAACCTTTTCAAAGGGGGCTTGAATAAACAACGAATCCCAAACCTCGAATTTGTACCTCGATCCCCCTACCTGAACGAAAGAGAAACAACAAAAACAGATTTCCGAATGTTTTCCCAACGACAAATAATTTCAAGGGCAAACCTAGCCATGACATCCTTGCAAAACAGCATCGCGATCTATCGATACTGTTATCGCCGCGTCACGGACCATCTCGCACATCGCGAGGGTCAATATTGTCCTAGTAAGATCTGAAATCTCTGTTGTGAATGCCCTCTTTGGTTGCTAAAGTGCAACTAAAACTTCTGCATTAAAGCGCTCTGTCTCTGCCCCCCCCCCCTCCCTCTCTCTATCTCTCTGACTATTTCTCGGTCGTCGGTGTTATTGCATGAGTGAGAGGGACGCTGGGACGGTGGGAGTGCTCGACAAGCCTTTCGCAGTTTAATATCGGGCCTGGCTCATGGATCGGGCACACGCTTCGACAACGGGAAGACTTTCTTGTGGCACGCCGCGCCGCGCCGCGCCACGGCGTACGACCGTGAAGGGAAGCATGGGGCACCGTGTAGACGGTATACACAGCGAAACGGCAGCGGATCGCGCGCTGAATCTTTTCGATTGTCCGAGTGCGTCGTCGAGTGCGCGTTGGACGTCACAACAGGTAGTTGAGCGAGGGCAGCGTGCTCCCGTGGAAAGAAAGGAAAAGACCGAGAGCGGAAGCGAGACGGTCGATAAACGGCACGGGTGTGCTGAACAGAGAGAGGGGAACGCCGGAGGTTTCGCGGTGGGGGTAACCGAAGGGGGAAGCTGAAGGAAGACGGTCGGAGCGGAATATGCCAGAAGGGGAGAAAGATGGTGTAGTAACAGGGAGGGGTTCCACTGTGTTTCGCCGGATACCTCCGCACTCTCCGGCTTTGCACAACTGCCCGTGCTACGGAGCTTCGAATCTAACATGCACGAGACGGGTTACTCACGCGGCTCTCCTCCCCGCTTGCCCCCCCTACGTCTCCACCTTTTCTCCCTCGAACTCACGTATTTCATTCTCCTTCCCCTTGCCTCCGCACCCGCCCTCGACTCGCCGTGATCTCTAGCAGAAGGACGCGTTTCCGTAGTCTGGCGTCGAGCAGTTTTCGAAATTAATATTTCAAGCCTCTTGGAATTAACTATGCCTGCAGCGAACGAACAGTAAATCGCTTATCGGAATTTTTTTACATTGCGTAATGCCACTTCGATTGACTTTTCTCTCGGACTGCATATTTTCTATTGTACGCTTACAGCACTCGGTGGAATCGTTACTTTTGGTTAATCGTTGATGCCGCTGGCGCACGTGACTCTTTTCCTCTAATCGCAGCAGCCGATGTTAAGCTGTTCGAAAGATAATGTAAATATTGTTTACATCGATAACAGCGTTCAAGGTTTGGATTTATGATTTAGTTCTTGTGTTAATAATCGATTGCCGTGTTATTTCTTTCGTAATGATCGAAACTTTTTTGTTCTTAACAGTTTGTTAATAGAAGAAAGATATCTGCATTTGAATCTACGTCGACTTTAATGCTTTTGTATTCAGAAGTGACGAGTCAAATTTTATTTCTATACAACAGGGAAGTACGGTAGATTTTTTAGATTTTGTTAAAGTAATTACTGCTTTCGTCTCTAAAGTTTGGAAAGAGTTAATGCACTCTGGAAGTCAGATATATGTGCATAGGAAACGTCTATTAGATAAATTGTAACCGCATGCAACGATACGGATAGTGCATTCTCGCAGAAGCCTTACAGACTATAAAAAGCGTCATCTGCCAATTGCATTATCATGCTATTGTCGCCACCTACGTTGGACGCGCTGCAACTAAAAGTGGAAATGCCGTCGATAAATCCTGCATTATGTTATGGAATTATATTTATTTAAAATAATATAGTCGTTCGTTCTAGGATTTAGAGAATTTTAATTTATATGTTGCTCGTACGATTTATTATAATACAATAAATTAAACCAATATATCGTAAGATTGTTGCAAACATAACCTACAATCGTAAATAGCGATTGTAGTGACACGTGAAAGAAGCTTTAATGTAAATAATCGTAATTTTTTACAGTAGATTCGTTGAGTGTAAATATTATTGACCTTCCGCTACTGTTTTATATAAAAATAATTTTCATACGTATCGTAAGTAAATTGAACACTTTTTTTTCTTCTAAGTATGTAACAAATGATGCTCCTAAAACAAAATGTTTATATAGCTGTATTATTTATTGAAGGATAAGTAGATAAGATGGATTTAAGTGCAGCAAAGAATAGTAGGTTTCCTTTCATACCAGGAACAAAACCTTCGATCAAAAATTCACAGCTTCTTATATCGACTGGAATTCCTTCTCTGGATCATATAATAGGAGGTGGATTACCTATTGGTTCACTGCTCGTTATTGGTATGTTAATCATTTAGAGTTCTTATTGACACTACTGTGCAGTATGAAAATCCTATCGTGTATAAAATAAATTTTATTTTCAGAGGAGGACCGGTTTGGTACTTATGCTAAAGTCATGACAAAGTATTTTGCGGCTGAAGGTGTGGTCACTGAACAGCCGGTGCTAATAGCCTCCAAAGATGCAAAAACAGCTCGCTTTGTAACAGAGATGCCAGCTGTTATAACCGACACCAAGTCAAACAGCCAAATGCATCATTTAGATGAACAAATGAAGATTGCTTGGAGATACCAGAACATGAAAGCAGTCGATTCCTCTCCGGGCGAAGGACAGAGTTTTGGTCACTTTTACGACCTTACCAAGAAAATGGAGAGAGAAACAATCGAAAAAGCAGATATAACTCAATGGAACGATGATAGTTGCCCCACAAAGGATAGCACATTTGAGAACTCATCCTACTCAAAAGTATTGCAATGCATTCAAAAAACCATAAGCGAAGGACAATACTCGATTTCGGAGACGCCCGCGAAAAGGCAGATCCTAAGAATTGCAATTCATTCACTGGGATCCAGATTATGGTTCAGTGATACAGAAGAGAAATCAAATCAGGACTTGTTAAAATTTTTGTATCTTTTTAGAGTACTTTTAAGGTATTCTTATGCGGTTGGCGTCGTAACAGTGCCTGTAGATTGCTTAGATAATTCAGTAAGTTTTACCTGACATGGTTCCAATACAATTTTTCAAATGTTAGATTATGTACCATCGTAATTTTCTAGAGCGCCGTCGTACAGCAAGTCGAACATTTGTCAGACGTTGCCATTCGATTAGAATCGTTTATGGGTTCGAAGGCGGAAAATAGTCCTCTGTTCAAAGACTTTCATGGTTTATTACACCTTAGGAAGTTACCCGCGTTAAACACAATAGCCAGTCACAATCCAGAAGCGCGAGATCTAGTGTTCAGATTGCGCCGTAAATCATTCGTCATCGAGGTAACTAAATTCTCATACAAATTCTACCTGTAACAGAATAAATTGCATAATTATTCCGTTCTCTAGGTGCTGCATCTTCCATCAGAAATGGGGGACACCGCGCAAAGGGAGCAAGATGAAATTGTACCGAATGTAGGATGCGGTAGTCAGTCCCGTAAAAATTTGTTAGATTTTTAAGAAGCTGATATTGTACAATGCGTAAACATACTTTTTGCGTACAAAAGTACAGTGGATAAAAAAGATATAGGCACATCTTTTAAAACAGAATAATTCTTTTTTATTGAAAAAACTCGTTTTTTCAACTTTTTTTTTTTATCTGAGCCTATAACGAAAATTTAAAAAAGGCTTTTTCTAGATCTCGTTAATTTATATGTATATTGAAAATTTCATTGAATTCAATTGACGCATAGTGACCTCTAGATTTCTCACAGTTTTTGGTCGGAAGTCGTGGAAAACTACTATATTTGCTGTCTAACAACACCAACCGTTTTCGATAAAATTACATCGACTAAAATAAGTCACTATATAGCGAACTAGTCCCCCCTAACATCTTCAAAAAATTGAAGTCATCTAGTACAGTTTTAAAAAAGTTATACCGTTTTAAAAAAAAAAACGTGCCAACACCTTTTTCAGCCACTGCATTTAATAAATATCTTTACATATGTATTATGTAATTTTAATATACATCGTCTTGTAATTTTTATAGTTTCCACCTTTGCCAGCTCCTAGAATAGCGATGGTGTACAGTTCCTCGCAGGTCCATGCACTGTTCGCGCTATTTTACCCAGAAGTGCATACTGCGGCGCGTGAATTAATGCAGACAGCAGGAGATAGGCTCCGTGAACATTCACAATAATACTCGTAACACATTTACCCGCTCTGCAATTTTTACCGTAGATACGGCTCTGTCGATGTATAGAAACATATTCAGAAAGCTCGCGTATAATAAATAGAACTGTACCGATAGTACAAGCGGTACAGTCTAACGAACTCTCCCTGTTATTAATTAGTCACGCCTCTATTTTTTTTCACTTAGATATAAGAACCCCTGAACCGTGTGGCCGCGTATAAAATCCCGTCCGCACCGGGTTCAGTGAGTTAATACGAAGAGCATGAAAAAACAAAAATACAGCAAAATAATAAATAAAAATCTCAACCATCTATCGCGTTCTCAACTCTTATTTTTGTTCGATCGACTTGCAAGTCCTATTGCTTATTTTCTCAGTGAAACTTCGTTATGGCTATAAAGCATCGTTTAGAGAACCACTCTTCATCTTCCAAACGCAACCTAAATTTTTTCATTTAGGCTTTCACCTGCTTCTCTTACCATAGATAAGAATCATCTTTGAGCAGCTTTCACGCTAATCGTCAAGAATTGAAAAAACCATACAACCAATTAAAGCAATTCAAGATACGGTAGAAAGTGTATATTCTCGAAATGAAATTGTGCAAAGTCGAAACGAAAGAGTTGCATGAAACAATATACGACCGTAGAAGCTTCAAAAAAGAAGAAGATAAAATTGGTAAAAGAAGAAATGGATTTCTATTTAATATCTGTTTGCGATACTTTCTGAAAATGTTTGTCGCGCATATAACAATTCGTGGTCGAATTATTATTAATCCCCCTCGCATATTACTTGATCTCTTTCCCAGGGTATCAGAGCGAACGACAAACATAGCGTTATTCGCCCGACGGATGAGAAGGGGGTGAATCGTATTGGCCCGTGACGATTGCCTTTAAACGTCGCGGCTCCCCCATGTGAAATTCGACGAACGTGTCACGTATCTGTAACAATCGCGCAAGTATGTGCATACGGACATTTCAGCCCCTCCATTTTTTTAGTTCGGTGCCTTTCTATTTCCTTCCGGTTCCATCCGGTCGGTCGCGCATGAGGGCTCGCAACGCAAGCGCACCTACAGATGCCTAGTATTCGTACAAGCACCGCGGAACCATGTATCACGCGGCAAGTTTTTAGTTCTCCGGTTAACGCGGACACGCACGCTTCGAAATTGCTCGAAGAAAGTGACACCTGGAAATTGTTCGCCGTTCGAAATCGAAGGAAACTCGCGCCCAAGCACGAAGCGGCTCGACGCTGGCCAACGCCGTTTATCGCCTGGCGATTAATGGAGTGTTATCGCGAGGGATTAACGTGACCGATCGTCGCCCGTGTCCCGAAAGGATCGTCCCGATCGGCTCCCGATGGAACTCTGAGATACAGCTGGAAAATGGAATCCAAGGGTTTCGCGTTGTCGCGGGTCTTCGTGTGCTGCGCGAATGTCGTCTTCTTGGTGAGTCATGGCCGAAAGTATTAATTAAACCAGCCGCGATCCGCGGTTCAAATCATTCTTAACAACTTTGTCGAATTTACGGGACCTTGACTCGACGAATGTAGAGCGACGATTGTTCAACCCCTTGGCCCCTATGGCATTTTCACGCATTTACGAACATTAGAATTTATCGACGATTATATTTAGACTGTTTGGGGAGAGATACGACGATTATGGACAGCTATTTAAAAAATGTATTTCTTCACTTGCAGATATCGGGTTTCGCGTTAATGACATTGGGGGCACTGTTATTAGCCGACGACGAGCGAATTCTGCTGTCTCGTTTATTGGGACCAGGCGACATCCACCCCGAGCAACCACTGTTCTATTATTTGGCCTTTGCCGTCGTTGGACTGGGATTTTTAATCACGCTCACGGGGCTGCTCGGATGCTGGGCAACTTGTCTCTACAATCGATGCGTTACCATTTCTGTGAGACACCCCTTGATTAAAATATTACCGCGCGAAGCTTCCATTTAGAATCAGGAGTTCCACGGATTCAGAGCACTCTGCTTTGCCCGCACTATTTCGCCAGAATATTGTAATAATTATAATCGTTATCGCAAATAGGTGACCCCCTTTTTCTGCACATACGCACAGCTTTCGTCAGAGTACAATGCCGTGCGCAATCATCCGTTCTATCGAAGTTTTTCACATGTCGTTGCTCAAAAAAAAAGGAGACGGAGTTCGCCGATAAAATTCATGTCATTCATCAACCGATTAGACAATTTCCAAGATAAACGAGGCGGTTGTTCGAGGCTCGCGCGGATGAAAGCACAACAACTTTCAATCTTTCTGCCCAAAGAATATTTATTTCTATTACAATGAAAGATATTTTGCGATTGCGAACGATCAGCCTCTTGCGCAACATCCTTTTCGAACGAGGCTAATTTCTTAAATCGCTAGGACACTTCCTGACGCTCTCTTAAACGTTCTAGGGTTAATTAATTAATTCATACAGGGTAGTTGACCTAGTCTTTTGAGTATATCCTTCAATCGCGATTACATCAAAAATATTTGGAGACCGACTTTATATAGAATTTTTAATTTTGGAGGTTGAAAGGTCACCTCAAGGATATATTACCAACGTATCTGAGCGCATTTGAAAGTCAATTACCATACATTTATTGCCCGTGTGACGAACAATGTCGGCTAAATCGTTGCCAAATGTACATTTGCGGTTAGCAAACATGAAAAATGTATATTTACGATTAGAAAACATGAAAAATATATATATCTGCGATTAGCAAACATGAAAAATGTACATCTGCGATTTGCGAACATGAAAAATGTATATTCGCAACTTTCAAACCTACAAAATATTCTCTGCAACATGTCTGTCCATTGGCGCCATGCAATATGCAAGCAAAATATTTTTCGCACGATCACAACTACGGGAAACATGTCTGCGGACCATTCTGTAACACGAAAGATAGAGCGTAGATTGAAAATCTGTCAAGACGAAGACGTAGATGAAGAACAACGAAAGGAAAATGTTCTGCCATAACGCAGGTAACGCGAAGATAACACCGTGCAGCATTGTCTGCAGGTTTTAGTGGTAGCTGTATAGCAAGCCCTTCGTTTTAATCGCGGGCAGAACCAAGGTCTCCCCGGTGCGCATCGTTCTTCGACGAACCCTGACGATGAGTTTGCTCGGCGGAGCCAAGTAAAACCAGATTTCCCGCATTGCCGGTGTACGGTCACGCGTCGCTGCCCGGAAACGGATCTCCATAAATCCAGGCACGCGTGCCCGCAGAAGGAGGACGAGCCTCTGTATCATTTAAAAACAGCAATTATTCAAGTAGTCGCTTATTAGCGGAATAAACGCGTGCACCGCTCGCGAACGGGTCTCGTCGCGCGCGTCTCCAGCATTCGCGCCGTGGAACTGCTCCGGATAGAATAAAATCGTGTACGACCATTTTTCCACGGATCCATAGCTGTGACCGTTCAGGACTATAAACTTAATGGATACAGTGACTCTCATTAGCGTCCGGGCGCTTGTTAAATCAGAATGTGGCTGCTTTCAAATTGGACTAAATCATTGTTTCTAGAACAGCTGGCAAGGTTTAACTCTTTGCAGTAGATGCTACTTCGATTCGATGTCCAAAATATGTTTGCCGATCTACAAGTATTTCCATTATGCATGATTTATTGCGGTTTATGCTTATGGAATTTGAGCCTACTGGCGAGTACAATACTTGCAGTTTCAACAGTTTTTGAAATACAAGCAAGCCCGATGCTGGTAGAATTATTTTGTGGAATGGTACAGCAATTTTTAGTGGCGTCTCAGTGTCGCCACTCGGGTGCAAAGGGTTAATCGCAAGGTTTACTCGAAAGTTTTAATTGCAAGGTCTAATTTTGTTCTTGCGCTTCCAGTACCTGATCGTAATAGTCCTGCTGGTGACAAGCGAATGCACCGTCTGTGTCCTTGTCGTCTTCTGGCCGTACCTCCTGGGCATCGACGTGAGACCGGCGAGATTGATACGAGCCTTGCAGCGTAGCTATGCAGTTCCTGGTCGAGAACAATTCACGGCAGCCCTTGATCTCGCGCAGACCACGGTAGGTTTCAGTTACAGTCATGTAATATGATAAGTAACGTCAAGATCAATTCGTTCAAGCAAGGTATAAACAGCGTCCTATAACCTTCGCGGGCCATTTGTCTCGTACCTTGTAAGAAGGTACGGAATCATTTATCGAATTTTAACATCATCGTTGTTGCAACTCTATTCCAGTATCAATCATATAATACTTATTATTATTATTATTATTATTATTATTATTATTATTATTAT